GCTTGGAGCCTGGAACCTGCTTCGGATTCTGTCTCCCTCTCTCTGCCTCTTCCTTGCTCAATGGTCTCTGTCTCTCAGGGAATAAATAAACATTAAAAAAAAGATATAGTGTATCAGAATGGATAAGAAAACAAGACCCATCTATCTGCTGCCTACAAGAGACTCATTTTAGACCTAATGATACCTGCAGATTGCAAGAGAGGGGATGGAGAACTGGAGGTCAAAAGAAAGCCAGAGTAGGAGATGCACCAACATGACGGAGAAGTCGTCCCTCAAACACAGCAGTGTTAAGGCCAGAGGACTTTGAATTCCAAGAGTCCGGCTGCAGAGTGACAGAGACGTCTCCAGGGACCCACGGGGACAACCTGGCAGGCTATAGGTGTTTGCAAATTGGGAGAGATAAAACGGGCTGCATAGGCATGGAGGGGAGGGATCCCCTTCTGTGAAGAGACAAAGGGAAGAGAAAGGGTGTGGAAGTGTAGGACTGTATTTGGACAAGAGAAAAACCACGGAGAGGGGATCAGAAAAAAAACGGAGAAAGATCCAATCTCTAACTGCAGGGCTTTCTTCAGACTGGGGACAGCTGTTCTGTGTGAGCACCTGGGGAGGAGGGGAGCCAGTCCTCGCCCCAGTTACTAGTCCAGAGGCACAGTCCGCAGTGGGAGAAAGCAATCCCCTCCCTTGAGTGCTGTGGGAAGAAGGTATGCAGGTTCAAAGGACAAAGGACCCTACCTGCGCCCTCCAGCCAGAGGCCATTTATCGGCTGGGCTAGCAGCACTTCCCTGGAACCGGGTGCGTGCAGAGCGGAACCTGTTAAGACATCTGGGTTTGAATCCCAGATGAACTCCAGGGAGGTACCGGAGACTGTGGGTGGGGAAAAAAAAGAGCCCCGGAGACTGTGGGTGGGGAAAAAAAAGAGCCCGCTCTCGCCCCTGAGGAGAGACTGGATTGTTGCCATTTTTCTCCCCATCACCAACAAGGTGGGGCTTCAGGGAAAGGAAAACATGTCCACAGTGGAGGCAGGACCTGCCTACACCAAACCGCGCCCCTCCACACCTGGTAACTGTGTATCTACATGAATGAGATTGATGCTGACCATCCAGACAACCCCTCCTCCAGGTCAGTGCTACCACGGGTTCCAAGGCACCCAGCGGTTTTGCATTTTCTGATTTAATTCTTGGGCAATTCTTATTTTATATACAATATATATTAATATTAATATATATAAGTATATATTATTTATTTTATATACAAGAATATATTAATTCTTATTTTATATACAATATATATTAATATATAAGTATATATTAATATTAATATACTTATATATAATATAATTATACTTATATATATTAATATTAATATTAATATATTTAAGTATATGTTAATATATATCTTCCTTTTCTCCTTCTTATTTCTTCCCTTCTCTAGTCGGGTCATTCCGGCTGTTGGTTTGTTTCAGCAGACATATTTAATCTTTTCTCTTTATACCTGTTCTCTATCTCCTTCTTTATTTTCCTCTCTCTCTCTGGATTAAGCTGTATAGTTTCTCTGCCTGATCATTTTTCTTTTCTTTTCTTTTTCCTTCCTCTGTCATTTCTCTCTTTGTATGGGATATGGTCGTTTCCACCACTGCCTCCACCTTTTTTCTTTTGTAAGAAAATATTTTTTCCAAGGATACTTCAATGAACAAATCAAAGAGGACCTGGTGGAGCGTCCAAAACATCACTACGAGTAGGGAGATAAAGCAATCAGAGTCACAACAACAGACAGCATGCAACACACTCCAAAACACAGCTCCTGAAGGGCCAGGCCCTGGACAGCATATGATCTCTCCTTAATACAGTAGTGCTCACAGGTGCAGGACACATAACAAGCTTTTAAAACACATAAGGGACAGAAAACTAGCCAAGATGATGAAATGGAAAAATTCTCCTCAAAAGAAATTCCAGGAAGAAATGACAGCTAAGGAATTTCTCAAAACAGATATAAACAATATATTTGATCAAAATTTAGAATAATAGTCATAAGATTAATCACTGGGCTTGATAAAAAGCATAGAGTAGAGCAGAGAATCTATTGCTGCAGATATCAAGGAACTAAACAATAGTTATGATGAATTAAGAAATTCCGTAAATGAGGTACAAAATAAACTAGATGTGGTGACAGTGACGATTGAAGAAGCAGAGGGGAAATTAAGTGAAATAGAAGATAAAATTATGGAAAAAGATGGAGCTGAGAAAAAGAGAGATAAAAAAATTCCAGACCACGAGGGAAGAATTAGAGAACTTAGTGATTCAATGAAACATAATAATATCCATCTCATAGGAGTTCCAGAAGAAGAGAAAGAAAGCAGCAAATTATAGCTAAGAACTTCCCCAATCTGGGTAAGGAAACAGACAGGGAAATCCAGGAGGCACAGAGAACTCCCTTCAGATGTAACAGGAATCAATCTTCAGCATGACATATCATAATGAAACTGGCAAAATACAAAGATAAAGAGAGAATTCTGAAAGCAGCTAGGGACAAATGGAACTTAACCTACAAGGGTAGACACATAAGGGTTGTAGCAGACCCAT